ATACTACATAAAGATAACATATATATGTGATAGTACAAATCTGATGATGTCTGCCTATACTTGTACAGAAATTGTGTACCTAAACCCATGCAAATTTTCCTATGAAGAATTTTATTGTTATCAAAAAAAAAAATAAAAGCAAAAATAAAAAAAGTGCATGTGAAGATAATATTAAAAAAAAACATTAAAGAATAAAACAAATGGCTACGGACTCAGTGAACAGCTTGACTATGAAGTGCAATAGAGGCAAGGAAAGTATAACAGTGAGGGTGGGGCTGGGCATTTAGCATTTTAGTGATCCCTGCCAGGCAGAGGCAGACCCTGGCTGGGAGGCAGCCAGTTTGCCTAAGATGGAGGTAAACTCAGTTACAACATGCCCGCTTGTGGGAGGCAGAGGGCAAAGTCTACCCACCTGGCCACCTTCCCACTCAAGGCGGCGGTCCATGGCAGTGCCCTATCTACTGGCTCACGCCGGGCCCTTCCCTTTCTGCCATTTCTGGCTGCTTTAATCGGATGGCAGAGATTACTAAACTGCAGGTCTAGGTGAAAAGTGCTGCCCTGAACCTGCAGACCCTACACCAGCCAGTCACTGCGTGCCGTCCCAGCTCTGGCCTGTTGCCTAGTAAATCCCCTTGCACAATTATACATGTTTCCCCAATTCTGCTCCTCTAAAGAACCTAAAATACTTAGTAATAATACAGAACAACTGTAACAGTGCCCTGTAATAACAGCTGCAACCAAGCCACCCTCCTCAAAATATCTCACTGTGTTGCTTCGGTAGAGCCCAGAACTGCTCAAGATTGACCACTCTACCTGAAACTGTGCAAACAGAGCCTTGGGTAGGCTAAGCAGCTGCTCTATTTGCAGGAAAATGATGACAAACACGAGATGACTATTGCCTGTAGGTACTAAGGGAGTCGGGAAGGTTGGAGAGACACTGAGGTAGTCATAGAAAAGCCAAGGCTGCCAGGCACAGTGACACCTGCCAAGCCCCAGCTACACATGAGGCCGAGGTGGGAAGATCTAGAGTCCAGACCAGCCTGACCCACCTAGCAAAACCATATCTCAAACATTAAGAAAGCATAAAGAGTATGTACTTTGTGGCCAGGCGTGGTTGCACACATCTATAATCCCAGCATTTGGGAGGCTGAGGCAGGAGGATTCTCACTAGTTTAATGCTGACCAAGGCTACACAGTGAATTCAAGGCCAGCCTGAACTATATGGAGGGACCCTCTCTCTCAAAAAAAAAAAAAAAAAAAAAAAAAAAAAAAGACTATATATACTTTGTGATCTTATCACACAGTAGAATGTACAGCAATAAAGACTGAAAGCACTTGCTGTGTCGACAGGGAACAAAGGCCCCAAACCGATTTAGTTATTAAATAAAAGCATGACATTCTATTACTTGTGTAAGAGGAAGAAAAGCAGATTCACAGCAATGGTTGCCTGTGGGCAGGAACGGAGGACTGGTAGCAACAGACAAGCAGGCTTTCTTTCCAAACTACCTTGTTGTGGCTTTGGAAGTGAACTGCACCCCAGGAGGGACAGTGAGGTTTTGGGGGCAAAAGAGAGCACCAGGCCTGAGAGACCAGAGACTGGAGTTCAACCTGCACAGGCACTGTGAGCCGGGGCCAACAGCCTCACCTCTACGGGTCTCTGTTGCCATAATTGAAAAAGAAGCCTAGCGAGGACCCAACACCCCCCAGACCCCCACTCTCCACGCCTCTAAGCCGGCTGGTGCACCCAACACCCCCCAGACCCCC